ATATCCGAGAATGCCTTCCCAACGAAGCCTCTCGCGTCACTCAGTGTTCCTTATTCCTTGGGGTACCTCTGCAAGCCAATGACTCCAAAGCAAAAGTATCTCATATCACCAGGGTAGAAAGCAAGAGTATCTCATATCATGCGTTCTCCCTGTCATTTCCTTTGTCTTTGTTCCTACCTACAAAGACAAGGATAAAAGAAAATAATATGCCGGAACTTCCACTCAAACTCGGGTAAGGAACCGACTGCTGGGAACCCTTCCTTGATTGCCTATACCTAGCATTTGCTCTCGAGTACTCGTCTCCCACTGCTGCTGTAACTTCCAAAGAAGCTGCCCACATCTGCCTGAAGAACAGATAAAGGCAAGTGAAAAATGATACCTTGCAGCATGTGGAGACAACGTGCAGAAGAAACAAGCAGAGAAGAATGCGGTCTGCACAGTCAACTCAGCAGAAGGAGTCCGAACTGAGGAACTCGAGAAGCTGCCACATCTGCCTGAAGAAACAAGCAGAGAAGAAATGCAGCATGCACAGTCAACTCAGCAGAAGGAGTCTGAGATGAAGAACTCGAGAAGATGCCACATCTGCCTGAGGAACAGATAAAGGAAATGAAAATGATACCTTGAAGCATGTGGAGACAAGTGCAACAAAGCACGTGCTGAGTCATCCGTTACTTCTTCAAAATCAAAAGTATCTCATATCATCAGGGTTGCAATCATTCTGGATTGGTGAATTCGTTTTGACCCTCAAATTCTTGGGGGTCGACTTACTAGGCGTTGTGAGCCTGCACGTGTCGATTCACCACCCTTGAATCAAATCCTTAAAGATCAAGTCACAAACTGGAAGAAGAGCCCATCAATCTTGAAGATCATACCGCTGACCAAACTGCTCAGGTGTGAATTAGAAAGATTGAACAAAGCAACAAGCCGTCACCTTCACCTCGTACCTGCTTGCAATATGTTCGAGTCAACCTTCAAGAATCAAGCCTCGACGGCCCTTGAAGAAGTTTCCAGCCAAATTCAAGATTAAGCCTCGACGGCCATCGAGGAAATCACAAGTCCGATTCAAGATCAAGTGTCTACCACCCTTGAATCAAAACCTAGTTCAAGAATAAGCTGTGGAAAATCAACAATTGGAGGAATCCAGAAAATCCTCCAACCCAGTTCAAGATCAAAAGCTGTGGAAAGTCAACAAGCGCAACAAAATACGTGCCGATTCACCCACTACCAAAGCCAAAGATCATCTACCACATGAAGCTCCTTGTGGTCCAATTTCAACCTTCAAGATCAAAGCCTCGACGGCCCTTGAAGAAATTTCAAAACAAAGTTCAAGATCAAGCCTCAACGGCCCTTGAAAGAAATCTCAAGCCCAATTCAAGATCAAGCCTCAACGGGCCCTTGAAGAAATCTCCAGCCCAATTCAAGATCAAGCCTCGACGGCCCTTGGATCGACGTCTACAGTAAGGGACTTCAAAAACGCATCTCCTACACGCGACAAGCACATGTACACGACGCGACTTGAAGTGGGGGCATTTGTAGACATCGAAATTTCGGTAAATAAATGTTGACCGATAAATCAAAGTTTCAACGCTCATGTATTACATAAATTTTACACGTAGCTTGTGACTCAACGAAAATTGAAATGAGTTGGAAAAGTCATCAAATAGGACACGTGTCAACACCTGGCAGAAACGACTTATTTCATCTGGAATATTTTATTCAAAATTAGGCCTTGGAAATTTCTATAAATACAAGCCCATTTCATTTATTTGGAAAAAACCAATTCATATTACACCTTGAAGCTCTGAAGCTCTGAAACTCCGAAGCTCTCAAGCATCCAGGTTCCCGAAGAATCAAGAAAGCCTTCTTCGTTCTTCGTTCATCGTTCTTCCAAGATCAAGCCCCGACGGCCCTTGAAGAAAGTGTTCTTCGTTCATCGTTCTTCCAAGATCAAGCCCTAACGGCCCTTTGGATCAACAATCATCCACCAATTCAAGATCAAGCCCCGACGGCCCTTGAAGAAAGTGTTCTTCGTTCTTCGTTCATCGTTCTTCCAAGATCAAGCCCCGACGGCCCTTGGATCAACCATCCACCAATTCAAGATCAAGCCTCGACGGCTCTTGAAGAAAGCATCATCGTTCATCATCCGTTCATCCAAGATCAAGCCCCAACGGCCCTTTGGATCAACAAACGTCGACAAATCTACACATCCAACCGTTCTTCAAGATCAAGCCCAAAAGCCCTTGAAGATCCGTTCATCACTGTTCTTCAAAATCAAGCCCAAAAGCCCTTGGAGATCCGTTCGTCACTGTTCTTCAAAGATCAAGCCCAAAAGCCCCTTTGAAAATCCGCTCAAATCCACCTTCAAGATCAAGTCCACGACCCTTGAAGAACGTTCATCCAAGATCAAGCCTCGACGGCCCTTGGATCAACGAAACATCCACAAATCAACACCTTACGGAGATCGAATCAGAGGATCAAAATAGAGAGAAATTGTAACCCAAAATCATCAAACACAAATATTTGTTTGTGCACGTTGTTCTTGTCTCTTTCGTTTCAGGAATTTTCCGTGTTCACAGTGTGTTCGAATCAACTAAATCTGAAGCAAACTACACGATATGTTTTGACATTTAAGAAAATATGGATTGCTTGTAAGAATTTGAATTATTGACTTAGAGGAATGTAATTAATGGAAAATAAATTAACTATGATTGTAAGTTGGGCCTACTATAATTAACTCTCGAAAACATATATTTCGGGGTTGGGGTGTGAAAGTCTTCCTCCTTCAACCCATGGAAAATTTTGTTGTCAGAGATCAAAGGCGAACAAAGAGGTGGGATGTGTGTGTGTGCAAAGAAGGAGGGAGGAAGAGAGAGAGAAAAAGAAGATGGCAACGAAGACAAACCTGGAAGCAGACGAGAGATAGCAGGCAATGCGAGAGAGTTGAAGAAGAGTGCATGAGAGAAGGATGGAGTGAGCCAGTGTGAGCGAGAGAGATGCACTTGACTAATAAGACAGAGGTTTGGGACGAGATAAACAAGTCGGTGTGAAGGTATAAAAAAGTGGGGCCAGATTAAATAATTCGGTGCTTATTTAATACGAAGTAGCTCACTAAACATATGTGCCAATCGAAGCCCAAGGGTTTAATATTATTTTCTGATGCAAAAAATCCTATAACTTTATATATGATAAGAGTTACAACGCTCACTCTCTTCCCTCCTTTCTTTTAAATCCTTATATTACCGTGTGTAATCCTTAACCTAGTAGTTGCATTAATCTTTAACCTTATATTTAGATTTGATTCCATTAACAATTCTTTGACTCAAGCTCGTTACATTACCCTATTTGTTAACATGAACAAGCAACAAGTTGTGAAGAATTATTAATTTTATAATTTATTGATTACGATGATATTGGAATAATCCTCGTAAATTTCTATGAAGCATTAGCAGATTTTATTTATAAATTTGTGTCAGCTTCGTATTATGTTGTGTCAAAATTTGTCATCCTCCGACACCAAAGTTGTGTGTCAATGTGATGAGGATTGAGCACTAGCACCCTCACATCAAATTTAACTTTCATCATAACGTTCTCGTTGCTTTCCACATGACTGGCCACAAACCCGACTTTAAATGTTATCAAGGTAAATTGGTTGTGTTGACGCTCTCAAGAGAAATGCAGCCATATGCCGCAACAAAATAGACACCGTGATGCTTACGTGTCACGATGTGATTTGTGTAGCCAAAAGCGATGGAATTAGGACAACGACAGGCGTGTGAGATGTCTAGTGTCGTTTCGTTGTAAAAGGAAAACTGTACGTATTGTGTGTCGTTTATGTTGTAACAGGACAAGATATGTAGTGTACCACAAGAAAATGGATGGACAATACATCTTTGTCTGCTTCTGAATTCTGTTTCGAACTCATTGCTTTGAGAGGCCGAGGTAATTGGGCTTGCATCAGAAAAAAATAAGGCCCATTTGGAAAAATAAGAAACCCATGAGGCCCATTGTGATAGGACGAAATGTAAAGGAGATTTTTGTTTTTGGCACTAAATGATTGATATTAATGTGTGAGATGAAAACATTTACTAAAATGAACAAGCAATTTGAACCGTAAAAATTTTACTATTGCCGGTTTGGTTCAGTTTATTCGTTTTCTAAATAGGTCAAATCGAATTGAACTAATCTAATTGTGATTTAGTTCGATCTGGTCCAAGATTGTAGTATTTTAGTACGAAACCTAAACCAAACAACGCGAAAAATGTTAAATTGATAGGTTTGAATGGTTCGGGGTGAACTTTTGTCTACCCTTACTCTCACTAGTATATGCGGAAGATAATATTCCCATTGCTATTTTCTACCTTTGCACTCCTTCCTTTTTTCTAGCATTTGTATTAATAAAGAGCTCGTTTGAATGTGCTTTTAAAATGACTGAAAACAATTTTAGTGAAAATGTTTTTAAAACCATTCTTTAGTAAAGATGCAAGTAAATCTTGAAAAAGCACTTAAAGTGCTTTTGGAACCCTAAAATATTTTTTTCTAAAAGCACTTTCAATTATTTTTTAAAGTACATCTAAACGAGCCAAAACTAATAGACAATTAAGTGACATAAACAGGAGAATAAGGACAAAAAGAGAAAACGAGAATGTGAAAATCTTTGATGATGTTATCTTTTATTCGTGATAACTAGTTAGTTCCGAAATGACACATGATGAGAAAATCAATTTACTTTGGGTTGTTGACCCAAGAAAATATGTCCCATGGAACATGAAAATGACCCCTCCTCCAAGATGAGAAGCCGCCTGGAAAATGGCCTTCCCAACAAGGCCGTCATCAAATCTAATCATGAACCCTCATTTCTGGTGGGGTCGGTTTTCAAGATTGAGCATTATTGGGTAGTACCTAATGGGCCGGGCTCATTAGGTCCAGTGGCAGTTTTGATATATCACAACAAATACAATACCATTTTTGTCACAAAAATTCAAAAGTATAAACCGATTAACGCCGATCGTTTTGTCCTTGGACTATTAGGCATCTCTCAGTCTATCCATCGGCTTCTGTTTTTCCTTCTGATCGGAGAAGAAAGGCAACCAAATCCCAGCCGTACGTCGTCGTTTTCAGGGTTTCGAATTCCTGGTCCGCCGAATTTGTGGTTTTCTGATTCTTTCCCCCGGGGCTCCTCACGCGTACGTTATCCTGAACGCGGAGCTGTCGATTGATTTCATGGTCTGATCCTCAGCGAATCGCAATCCGACGGTGGCGATGGCTTCGGCTCATAATCAATCGGCGAATGTGGATCTCTTCGATGCGTATTTCCGACGAGCCGATTTGGACCGCGATGGCCGGATTAGTGGCAATGAAGCCGTCGCTTTCTTCCAGGGCTCCGGTCTCCCCAAACAGGTTCTTGCGCAGGTACTCTCTCTCTCTCTCTCTATACATATATATATATATATATATATATGTATGTATGTATAATTGTATGTGTATTATGGTGTGTATGTAATGGTTTGGTACTGGTGGAAATGTGCTCCAAATCAGATTGATTTGAATTTTAAGTTTAATTGTTGGTGAAGAGGTTAATGTGAGCTCGGGATGTCGTAATTCTCTGATCTGAGCCGAGCTTTTTATTTCATTTATTATAAATGCGGAATTCATGTTCATTTTGTTGAATTTTATAGTTTGATGGAAAGAAATGGTATAAAACAAGTAGATGAAGGATTTATACTACAGTTAGTGAGGGTTAAGAGAGCTATGTTATAAGGTCGACCTTAGGTGGTAAGCATACTTTAGAAATGGTGTTATATGGGTATTGACTGTGAGATGTGACTACCCAAGGATTGTTTATGACATTACAATAGTGTAGTAGCGAAAACCTACAACATAAGACGACTACAGAATAGTTAGGATTGTGGCATATAAGGGAAATTTTCTGGGTCATGATCATATTGACAAATAGGTTTTGAAGCTGTATATTTGTTTTGCTGAAGGAATTTCGGTAGAAGATGATAACCGGGGGCATAAGATGTTAAATACTGAATAAATGGAAGAACTTTATCATTATCTTTTGTAACAGAAGTTTGGATCTGTTCTATTTTATATTGGTTGCTTATATTTATTTGCAGATATGGGCACATGCAGACCAGAGGCAGACTGGTTTCCTTGGTCGTGCAGAGTTTTACAATGCCCTTAGACTTGTCACTGTGGCACAAAGTAAGCGAGCTTACGCCAGAAATGGTGAAGGCAGCATTATATGGCCCGGCTGCAGCTAAAATACCTGCACCCAAGATAAATCTCGCAGCAACTCCTGCCCCTCAGTTCAATTCTGCTCCTGCAGTACCTTCGACTCAGGGTGGTGCTGTCACTCCCATGCCCTCGCAAAATCTTGGGTTCAGGGAACCGCAAGTACCACCTCAGTATAATTCTGCTGCAGCAGCACCTGCCACTCAGGGTGGTTCTGTCACTCCGATGTCCTCCCAAAATCTTGGGTTCAGGGGACCACAAGTACAATCTCAGTTCAATTCTGCTCCAACAGCACCTTCTACTCAGGGTGGTGTTGTTACTCCAACATCCTCCCAAAATCTTGGTTTCAGGGGATTACCTCCAAGTGTGAATGTGAACCAGAACAATTTCATTCCCCAAGATTCTAAGTCAATTAGGCCTCCAGTGCCTCCATCTAGTTCTGATACCCAACCCTCACAGGGTGTTGCTGCACAAGGCTTTCCCAGGGGAGGTTCAGTGGTTGGGCTTCATCCACAAAACTCAAGCATGTCAAACGATTGGGTTGGTGGAGCAACGACAGGGGTACCCTCGCAAGTTGTAAACAAAGGGGTCACTCCCTCTGCAACACAAGATGTATTTGGTCTGGCAACTTCAGGACCAACAACTTCCCTACCACCTAGACCACATGCAGGTTTTGGAATTAGACCATCAGGACCACCGGCCAAGGATTCCAAACCATTAAATATATCTGGGAATGGCTTTGCGCCCGACTCATCTTTTGGAGATGATGTGTTTTCTGCAACCCCATCTCAACCAAAGCAAAATTTTCCTCCTGGCAGCGTACCCGTCTCATCAGGCATTGTGCCAATATCTGCTGGGACCCAGTCTTCAGCTATCCCAAGTACACAGTTTGGTGGCGAGCCTCAGCAGGCCCAGTCATTTGCAAAACCAAACCAACAGGTCTCAGCTCAGACTAGCCCTTCTGGAGTTTCACTTGGAGCTGGGAACTCTGCTTCTAGTCAGTCCCATCTGACATGGCCTAGGATGACTCAAACTGATGTTCAAAAGTACACCAATATCTTTGTGAAAGTTGACACAGACAGAGATGGGAAAATCACTGGTGAACAGGCCCGTGACCTATTTCTGAAATGGGGACTACCAAGAGGTAGGACTGTTTTTTTTGAATTCATCTTTTGGCTTGTGTTTTACTGGCACAGGTGCCATGTGGTTTATTGAAGCGCTTTTCTTTTGTTTGTTTCACTTCTATGTTAGCTTGTAACTGAACTAATGCATCTTTACAAAACTTGTATTATCCCTATCCCGGAGTTAAAGTTGTTTGATTTTCCTCTTCTGGGTGGTGGCTGACTCACAATGTTTAGTTGGTGGCATTTAGCTTGAATTCCTGAACATAACAGGCTTGATCAAGCATATTCTGCAAGATGCTTTGCTGCTGGATGTTCATTCTTTGCTTGATGTGTTGGCATTTTGATGTCAAAACTCGATGCCATGGATATTTTGTAGATATAAAATATTTGTAATTGGGAGTAATTTTTGCCGGACAATTGACATACAAACATCCATAAATACTATAAAATTGAGTCACGTCTGAATGTGCAGTCTAGATTGATAGAATGATGACCCGTCATGCCACATTATCTTGCAAGAGAACATATCGTTATTGCATATGAAATTTCAGGGTATTAAAAGTTCCCCCATTCTTAACTTTATGCTCCTGTTTTCATCTGTCAGATGTTTTAAAGCAGGTGTGGGATTTATCCGATCAGGATAATGATAGCATGCTTTCTGTCAGGGAGTTTTGTGTTGCACTATATTTGATGGAGCGGTTTAGAGAGGGACGCCCTCTTCCAGCAGTGCTACCAAGCAATGTTATGCTTGATTTATCCAACATTTCTCAACCTGCAAATAATTACTCCAATGCTGGCAATGTAGCCTGGAGACCAGCATCTGGTATTCATCCATAAAACAAATCAATTTTTTATTTTTATTTTTAAATCATACGTCTTTCTTTGATGGAGAATAGTTTCTTATTTTTCACTTTAAAAGGCTTTCAACAACAGCAACCGATGCCTGGTCCTCGTGCTCGGCACATGGCACCCCCGGCTGGAGGAAGGCCACCAAAGCCAGTTGCTCCTTCCCATGCTGAGGAAAGGCATCAGGCCAATCAGCAGAAACCCAGAGTACCAGAATTGGAGAAACATCTTGTAAATCAACTGAGTACAGAGGAGATTAACTCACTGAACTCAAAGTTCAAAGAAGCAACCGAAGCTGATAAAAAGGTACTTAGAACTTTAATATTTCTCAATTTGTTTAGCTGGAGCAGCAAAGTTATGTGTGCATGTTACTTCCTGATAAGTATCAAATCATAACAAATGTCCCAAAGACTTGGAATTCTTGTGATGGTGGATTTTACTTTGATCTTAATATCGTTCATTTCTGTTGAGAAGATTTTGATCAAGTTTAAGTAAGGATGCTGTGTGGGTTTTGAAGTTCATGATCATTCTTTGATATTAGTAATCTTAATGATTGGCGTTTCACATGTTTCTAATGCATGGCATTCATTATACTATCTTTTTGTTATAGCATTCATTATACCTTATTGAAGTTTGTTCCATTTTCAGCTTGTGTTTCTTCAACCTTTTTGATGTGATTCTGTTGGTTCTTTGCAGGTAGAAGAATTGGAGAAAGAAATTTTGGATGCTAGAGAAAAAATTGAATATTTCCGAGTCAAAATGCAGGAACTAGTGAGTATCCTCGCGTTCTTTTCTGCCCTTTATTTCTTGTATGCCGTTGGTTGTGCATATTGAACATTCTACAGTAGTTTTACTGTTTGCATTTGAAATACTTGTTCTACGAGTGATAGATTTTTGGATGTCCTAATCATTTGTTGCTTTTAAATAATCTGCAGACTTCTTACTATTTGATTTTTGCAGTGGTGTGAGATGTTTTATTTTTTGAACATGTGGATGTTTGTGGTCTGAATCAGTATTGGTTCTTGAATTGACAAGTACTACTGGGAGAAAGTGCAGATCGTCTGTTTTATCATTTTCCTATAGCTTTAAATGTAGCTTTAAATTTGGGAGAAAGGTCACAGCTTATGCTGTATTTCAAGGTGGCTTCATTATGTTATTGTAGGCTTGGAATATTTTAAAAGGCATTGGACTCAAATTGTAGCAATTTTACATCTACTTACTAACATAAGGAAATGATTGTTTTTAACTTTCAGCTTTTGAATTCTAATTCGCATCATTGTGAATGCTAGTGCTTTATTTTAGATCTCACATATATAGGGTGTGGTTTTGAAACTATGTTGTATGCGACTACCTTGTTCTATTTGCTCTGATCTATTTTCCTTTTTGGTATAAGGTCTTGTACAAGAGCAGATGTGACAATCGCCTTAATGAGATCACAGAAAGGGCATCTGCTGATAGACGTGAGGTATGCAGTAGGATACTTGAGCCTAAGCACATATTTGCATAATCTTTAGCAACTGTCTTGGCTTAATGAGTACTACATAAATCTAGGCTGAGTCCCTGGCTAAGAAATATGAAGAGAAATACAAACAAGCTGGAGATGTAGCTTCCAAGTTGACTATTGAAGAAGCCACGTTTCGTGATTTACAGGTACCTTTCACCACATAGAAATTGTCGTCAATTAGTGGCCCATGTGTGTTTGCTTTTGCTCATTCAAAGATCAAAGCGTCAACTGCTTGCTGTTCGTTTTGTTCATCTGAGTCATAATTGCCTGTACATGTGAGATGGCATGCTTTTATTTTTTATATTTTTAACAAAGTATTACATTCTGGAGAAACAAAGATTTATTTATTTATTTTTTTTATGGGAGTTTTTTTGGCCTGTGGGATTGATAGCAGATTACAGAGAGAAAGTAGGGTGGGAAAATAGAATCAGTTGAATGGTCATACCCCTAGTGCTGTATTCTTTCTATTATCACCGGACTGATTGTCATATGTGATTTATATGCAGGAGAAGAAAATGGAGCTATACAGAGCAATTGTCAAGATGGAGCAAGAAGGTGATGCTGATGGCACCCTTCGGGTACTTTTGCACAACCTTGCTGTTTAAAACATACTTTTGCTCAACTTGTCTAAGATAATTTCCAACTGAAATTTTCAGGATCGTGTTGATCGCATCCAATTGGATCTTGATGGGCTTGTGAAAACTCTCAATGAGCGCTGCAAGAAGTATGGATTACGCGGAAAGCCTACAACATTAACTGAGCTTCCCTTTGGTAAGTTGATCTCATTCCTTGCTAATTTCTTGGGAATCTAAGAATCTTATATAAATAATGATAAGAGTACTTCCATTAGTATATTCTTTAACAGACTATCTGATGGATTTTACATTAAATTTTTTTTTATGGACTTTGGCTTTGGGTAGTCAATTTATTAATAGCATTGCCTTGCTAGAAGCTGAAAGTCATTCTGTTGTTAAATCATCAAAATCCTACAGAGAAACCCTTGTTTTCAACGTTGTAATCTTTTCCTAGTCACTCTGCTTTGTTTGATTTCATTGTTTGAATTCTGTGTACCGTTTCTTGAGTGCGTCATTTTATTTTTCGTTATTGTTCACTGCTGTGGCAAGTGCCTTCGCCCATGAGCGTTAGGTCTCGGGTTCGAGACTTGGGAGCAGCCTCTCCATAAATGGGGGTAAGGCTAGCCGACATTCACCTCTCCCAGACCCTGCGTAAAGCGGGAGCCTTGTGCACTGGGTACGACCTTTATTGTTCACTGCCGTGGTATTTGTGCTACAATGCATTTTGTAATCTGAAATTTTATTTTGTTTTTATGTAGGCTGGCAACCTGGCATCCAAGGAGGAGCTGCTGACTGGGATGAGGATTGGGATAAATTTGAAGATGAAGGTATATGCCAAAAATGGGTTTTATAGATCCAGTATTGGCTCTGAGATGATAAATTTCTGGTAGCACTTAAATTCTTTTTTCCTTTTCACCTTGTGGTAAATGGAGCATAGTGCCTGCTGTTTGTAGTTCCTTTGTCGTCTGGTGGTGGTTTCCCAATCTGTTCAGGAGTTTTAGCTATTCGATGTGACTGATTCAGAAGTTTACTTTTCAGGATTCACTTTTGTCAAGGAGCTCACCCTTGATGTGTCAAATGTCTTGGCGCCTCCAAAACAGAAATCATCATCAGTTCAGAAGGAAAAAGCTCCTCCAGTTGAGAGTCCAACTGCTTCTTCACCTAAAGTTGATGTCAAGTCAGAAAAGCCTGAGAGTGCGGATGACAAGGTTGTTGAAAATGGAGCAGCATATGATAAAAATGAAGAGGAGTCCGCAAAAAGTGCTCCGAACAGTCCATTTGCCAGCAGCCCATCTAGAGAATTTTCAGATTCTAACTATGGAAGGACAGCAGGCACAGATGCCTCACCCCGTGATAAGGAATCTCAAAGGTATAGTTTTAGATCTGTAGTTTTCTACATATTTAAAGAGGTCGCACTTGGTGCGATGGCAAGTGCCTTCGCCCATGAGCGGTAGGTCTCGGGTTCGAGACTTGGGAGCAGCCTCTCCATAAAATGGGGGTAAGGCTAGCCGACATTCACCTCTCCCAGACCCTGCGTAAAGCGGGAGCCTTGTGCACTGGGTACGACCTTTTTTAGTTTTCTACATATTTAAGATCACCATGATACCTGCAAAAATTGTTGAAATTCTAAACTTTGATGTGCACTGCAGTGATGATCATGGGGGTGCTGGGTCTGTGTTTTCCGGTGACAAGGGTTTTGATGAACCAGCATGGGGGACATTTGACACTAATGATGACGTTGACTCAGTGTGGGGTTTCAATGCAGTTAGTACCACCAAGGTAAGCCGATATTGTACATTCAGTATTCTTTATTATTTTATGGAACTAAATTCTTTGGCCTTGTGTTTATGCTGACCGGGTAGTGCTCCATGATTGCTGTTAATACCACCTACTTGTTTGTGGCGGTGATCATGTATTCTTTGTTTCAAGAGTAGCCTCAAGTGTCCTAATGCTTGCTGCGTTTAGTTATTAGAGAAGGTTCCGAGAATTTTATCAATAATAGTTTCTATCTTCACCAAGTTTCCAGTTCTGAAGGTTTCATCATGTAAATCAGTTAGTAGTACAGGTCTTTCAACCAAATATGACAAAACCGAGTTTCCTGATTTCAGTCTTGGGTCACTGTAGATATAAAAAGAAGGGGTTGTGGAATTGTTCTTGGTGCAATTAATTCCACATTGAAAGGGGACTCTGGTTTTGGCGTTAGGTCTTGGTTAATCAAGACCGTGTTTATGTTTACATTGACAACAGGGGGTGCTGCATTGCACACGGAACATTTTGTAGCCGATGGAAAGTTTCCATTACTTTGCACCTTTTAAGTAGGCATGGATTCTAGGTTCCAGTGAATCCACTTTCTTTTCTAATAGCTTGTTGGTTACGTAGCACTTTCAAGCTTTCTGTTTTTTGCGGTTTTATATTTGTTGTTATTACTGGCATGCTGGATTGTGCGGTAACTGCTCTTAATCATGTGTGATGTAGGATATGGATCAGGAGAGTAATAAGGATCACTACTTTTCTGGCCCTGGGGAGTTCGGCCTCAACCCTATCAGGACCGGGTCATCACAAGGAGGTAGCTTTTCCCAGAAGAGCCGCCCTTTTGCTTTCGATGATTCTGTTCCTAGCACGCCAATGTCTGCCTTCAATTCAGGATATTCACCACCAAGGTACAAGGATAATTCAGAACCTTCATTCGACACCTTCTCCAGGTTTGATTCGTTTAGAAGCACCCAAGATACTGGATACTTCCCTCAACCAGAAACACTTGGAAGATTTGATTCTATGCGCAGCAGTAGAGATTTTGATCAGGGACATGGATTTCCAACATTTGATGACATTCCAGACCCTTTTGGCTCTTCAGCGCCATTTAGGTCATCACTGGACAGTCAAACTCCAAGAAGAGACTCGGACCCCTTCGGATATTCTGGGTCATTTCGGACGTCACTGGACAGTCAAACTCCAAGAAGAGAATCAGATTTTTTCGGGTCTTCAGCAGCGCCATTTAGGACATCATTCGACAGTCAAACTCCAAGAGGAGACTCGGACGCATTTGGTTCTTCTCCATTTAGGACATCATTCGACAGTCAAACTCCGAGACGAGACTCAGACCCATTTGGGTCTTCAGGGCCTCTCCGGACGTCAATGGAGACTCCGAGAAAAGACTCTGATCATTGGAGTGCGTTTTAGCCGGTTAGTTGTGCGTCATTTTGTGTCTGCTATTCAATCGCCATTCAAAGCCTTTCTATCGTGGCGTGGTGGGACGGGCCTTGTGTTTTATGCTTTGAAATCACTGAGCCTGTAATGTATCTTTTGTATTTCATCCCTTTTTGTGTATGCAGGTTGCCATTTCTTCATTATTTTTTCCTTTAGCTTGTTGCACAACATATATTACCTCCTTAATTTTGGAATTTTCCTAGTCCTATTGAAGCGAAGACCCCCATAGTTTTGTCGTTTGTTACAAATTGATGATTGTATTATTAAACTTGAGGACATATTTTGTTGTAATTTCCATTTCCATGTCAAATAAATTTTGTGTTTGCTGATTTTGTTGTTCAGTTAACTCCGCCTATGTCTTACATGGCCGGTCCCAAGCCCGGATAAAGGAGGAGGGGGAGGGCGTCAGGTAGTCGACAGCCGGCACTCCATGATCACGTCGAATCCTTATGAAAATGATTTTGTTGTTCAGTTCAAACGAGAACACAAGATTTGGCGTTTTTAGTCCAACTGGGTCATTCATCTTTTGCTCATTGCAGTTGAGCTATCGAGCTATTTGAGTTTTTTTTCTTTTGTCGAATGTTCGATGTCAACCACGTGACTCGTCACTTCCACTTTCACGATGTCAAATTCAACTACGTGACACAGCCGCGGCGTCTACCACCAAGAACTGAAGCTTAAGAACCTCCACCTCGACGAGGACGGCAACTTGAAGGTCACCGATATCGGAGTCGGTGCTTTCTCAGCACACTCGGAGTCGGTGCTTTCTCAGCACACTTGAAGCAGGGTCTCACCTTTGTCGCGGACCCCTTCGAGCTGGGGACTCGTTTGCTCTTCGTGGCTTCGTGGATTTTCTGATTTTTGAGCTATTTTATAGGGTACTTTCAGAGTTAATTGAGCTGATTTTCTGGGTTTAATTGTGTGTTTCTTAATTTTATTTACTTGATTATGGAACTGGGCATGCAGATGAACTTAATTTGGTGGACGGATTAAGCAGGTCGAAGATCTCGAACAGGTGAGGTGGAGAAAAAGCAGGTTTTGACTTATTCTTTTCTGATTATTATGGCTGGAACTTTGAAAAACACTTATATTTACCAAACACATTTCACACCGGAGATATTTTATAAAAAGTACTGGGCTTAGGCAACAAAGCCTACATATCCGAAAGGAATAGGAATAGACAAATTCAAAATGATATGGCATTCAGGCAAAAAGACCCATTCAGCCAAAAGGATCCATTGGCTTCTTACTCATCATCACTTTCATATAACTCAAACTGATCATAACTTTATTCACTGGCTTCTGAATCATTACCACTATCATATAGTTGTGGCTCATCACTTGATTTACTGGCTTCTGACTCATCATCACTTTCATTTGCTTTATTCTTATAACTTGATCCACTGGCTTCCCAAGTTTCGTCTTCTCTTGTTTCTTCTTGTATTTTTGGTTCCCCCGATGTGAAGAAGCGATCAGGTTTGACCTTCTCAACATCTTCCGCATACAACGGCCATATACCACAATTTTCCACCTTCAGACTGGGATCAGGACTCCAGAAATCACGTCCAGACACAGAGAATTGAACAGAGGCCTCATTTGCAAGTTTGTAAACATCGGGGGAGCATTCTTCTGCTCCCTCTTCAATTATAAAGGGCCTACCCCACACGCACACGTGATCATGTTGGTTGGCTTGCACCCAGGGAGGTATCCAACGGAATCGTTCGACAATGAATCCAGAAGTGAACAGTCCATGGCTTTCACCCGGGGATTTGACATTGCACCTAGCTGTTATTTCAAAGTCATTATTGCCGTTGGAAACACAAGAAACAACAGCAGAGAGAACGAAACCCAATAAACCTGTTCGAAAACAATCTGGAGGAAGCTTGATATGGACTGAAGATCCCTCACTTTGATATCTGAAGCTGAACCACTTTGGAATTTCTTTTCCCGGACATACAATGCCATAATCTTTCTTTGATGAATTAGTTGCCTCTCGCATAATTCTAAGCTGTGCTTCATCCATTATGTTGCTCCTTGCATTATCATCCAAATTTCCGCAATTAAAAAAATTACGTTTCCCAAAATATGTGTATTTATCCCAACCTTGTGTGAGTGCTGTCCTTGAACTTGGCACTGTCTTCAGCGACCTGCAGCCTTGAGCTTCAAGATCACATTGCACTGGGAGCTCTGGTAATGATTGAAGCTGCTCGCACCAACCTAAGCTGAGTGTATGCAACCGAGAAGCTTGTTTGATGCTTGCAGGTATGCTCCTAATCATGCTTCCACTCAGATCCAACTTTTGCAATGAGGTTGACCCAACGAGACCATCAGGGATTTCTGATATGCTGGTGCGATGGAGGTCTAGAACTTCCAAAGATTGCAAACGAACAGAGCCGGACGGCCACTCTTTGAGTGCCGAACAGTCACGAAAGCTGAGAGTTTTAAGGTTGGTTAAACTGTAGATACTTCCTGGGACAACACTTAGTCTCCAGCACTTACCAAGATCTAATGTTTCAAGCCCAATTAGATTTTCAATAGACGAATGAAGCTTTTTGACCGCTGTCCCTTCCAAACTAAGAAAGTTCAGATGTTCGATTCGCTTCGAGATTTGAAGGAATTTGTAAAATGCAGAGCCACCTTTGAGATCAAGTGTGTCACGATACTTCAACTTAGGGATGCTCTCTGAGATCCTTGAAAGCCTACTGCAGTCGCTTAGTCGAATGCTTTTGAGAGCAGGAAGAAACTCGATTGATGAGAGTAGCTCTCGAATGGCTGTGCACCTTAAATTAAGATGTCCCGAAGGTTTCTTGGGCTCCGAAGGTTTCATGCTCTCCGAAGGTTTCTTGGGCTCGAATATTTCCTGGAAGTTCTCAAGTTCAGAGCACCAAGAGAGCTTGAGTTTCTTGAGAGACTTCAACTTACGAATGTCGGTTGGGAGACTCACAAGGTTCTTGCGATCAACCAATGGTAATTTACTTATACCCCTGGGAAGCTCAAAACCCTCAATAGATCGTACCTCACACATACAAAATTTTATATCCAGGTAAGAAATTTTTTCGAGAGACCAAACTGAATTAGGCAACTCCTGTAGACCACTTCCATGTAAATCTAAGAATTCAACATTCTTTGGCATCTCTGGAATATACTTGAGACTTGTGCAATCTCCAAGATTAAGATAAGTAAGCTTGTCAAGATGTTGAAAACACCCAGGAATTTTAACCAAATTCTCACAGGTATGAAGATTTATGTGCTCAATTTCTGGACTCCCAGACAGATTTGGAACTTCCGTGAGATTAGATGAGTACGTCAGATCGATCACTTTCAAGTTCACAAGTCTCTGTAACAAAAGTAACGAAAAATACAAAGAATTAATAAGGGAGACTTTCTACGCTGCATTTTTATACAAGAACTAAAATAGGCTTATATACCTGGTCTTCATTCCATAGCTTTTTAACTCGGCTTCTGGGCATATGAAGCTCAACTAGATTTTCAGGACAAAATTTTGAGGGCAAAGAATTCAAAGGATATCCATGCCATTCAAGATAACGAAGAGAACTGGGAAGATCTAGAGAAGCGGCGAGATAAGTGCCATAATTCACTACAGTTAGCATCATTAGGTTAGACATCACTTTGAAGTCTGCGCGTTTCAGTCTCTGCTTTTCAATCTTAGACCGGTCAACCCACATGGCTTGAACAATTGGAGTTCCCTGACAATAAGAGCAAAGTTTAAATGTGAATATACATACAACAAAATTCAATCAATAATTAAATTTTATAGATGAGCTTTTCTCTGGTATGTTATCATCTAAAATTCCCTATTTGTTTTTAGGTAAAAAAGAAAAGAAAGAAATTGAAGGGATATAGCTCTTACCGTGTTATTTTGCAGTACACGATTGACATCCTTATTCTTGAACAACCTACTCCGTTTACCAGGATCTTCAAAACATTGTTCAAGAACAATTGTTCTTCCCATTTCTTGTACCAAATCGTGCATCTGTACGATTTTCCAAGGTGAATTTTTCCAAGTTGAATCAATTGATATGAGAGACATATCAACGAGAACTCTAATTCCGCGTGCCGCATGGAATCCACGAATATCTAACATTCGTTTTACCTCATCCACATTCTTCCCTTTATGAAAACATGCTATATCCAGAAATATCTCCTTCTCATTTCTTCCCAATCTATCGTAACTCAATCTCAACACTTTCTGGATATTTTCATCGGGAAGTTCTTTCAATTTGTTAAATTCATGTTCCCATTCTTCTTTGCTCTTGCAATTTAGGAATGAGGACCCCAGAAGTACGAGAGCTAAAGGAATGCCCCCAGCATAATCCACTGCCTTTTTTGCCAACTCCTTATAATCTGTTCTAGGAGTAATGTTATTCTTGAAAGCACGCGAATAGAAGAGCTGAAGAGCGTCATCCGGTTTTAATCCCTCAACCTTGTAGATCTTATCCTCTTCAACAGTTGGCCTAAGCGTCCCCCTATCTCTACTTGTGATAATGATTCTACTTCCAGTGCGATACGGAAGACGCTTACCAGCTAAACGGTCCATTTGCATTGAATCACTCACATCATCAAGAACAATGAGGACCTTTGTTCGTCTGAGCCTTTCTCGAACAAAAGTTGATCCTATGGATAGACCTTCTTTCTTTGATATCTCTTTAAGAAGTGTTTTTTCCAAGCGATCCATTCCATTTGCTTGTTCTGAGTTCTCCCTAACATTTCTAAGAAAACAACTAGCTTCGAATTTAGAAGAGAGTTTGTGAAATACAGTTTCAGCAATGGTGGTCTTGCCAATACCACCCATCCCCCAAATTCCTACAGCGATGGGTGCTTCTGGTGAATGAATGCATAATAAAGATTCAATTTGCTCGATGTGTCTTTCAATTCCAATCAGGCCATTTAAATCACATGATGATTCGCAAATCAATTTGTTCCAAATATCATCAACAACATTCTTAACTAGAACTGCCTCCGTCCTGGCATATGTATGTATAATTAGGTAGAAAAGCAGTAGTTAGTCTATAATAGGCTTTACCAAATCTTAGCACAAATAAAGAATTGTCACAAGTTTAAAGATTATTTATACAAGTTAAAGAACGAGTTAGTTACCAGGTATTGTTTGAGTAATCAAAGCCAGATAGATTGGCTGCAGTCGTCAAAGCATTCCTCCACTCTTGAACTTTATCGATACTGTCCTTGAAACGTTTTTCAAGTCCAGCAAATGCAACCGCATAGCTCCCCTGTTGGTTTCGTATATCCGATGGACTGACGTCGTAGAATACGGGTATAACCATCTGGCCACATCTTTCCTTGCATTTGAGTATATGCACAAGTTCCTTCAAACACCACGTGGAAGAAGGGTAGTTTTTCGAGAAAATGATCACCGAAAGCCTAGATTTCTCGATTGCTTCTACAAGGGCAGGTCCAATTTCTTCTCCTCTCTGAAGTCTGTCATCTATGTAGGTTTCAATTTTCCTCTGTTCTAAGGCCTGGTGAAGATGGCTGGTGATGCCACGGCGGGTGTCCTCACCTCTGAAACTGATGAACACATCATACTTTTCCCGAAGAGGGGGGATTTCAGCATCGTCTGCATCACCAGCTGCAGAATCAGCAGCAGAAGACGAAGGAGAAGAAAAGGTTAACGATCTGAACCACACACGCAAGAGAGAAATGATGCACCCATCTGAGTGCTTGATAATATATCAAAGATCAAGAGAAAGAAGCGAGTGCTTGATAATATATCGAAGAAAGGGAATGGATATATTCAGAGGTGAATGAGATTTATTAAGTTGCAATTGAGGAGACGATCCAATTAAGCAAATTAAGAAAGAGGGAGAGAGAGAGAGCTTGAAATTGGGAAGCAAGCAAGAGAGGAGAGAGCAGATGCAAGCAGAGACTACATCAGATCTTAAAGAAAATAATAAAAAAAGATGATGCAAAAAAAGTGGAAATGAAATTTACCCTACTCCTTCACCTTACTTTCCTTGAGTCACAAGTCAAAAGTGCATGGCAGTGGCAAACACAAAGTAGCCGAGAGGCCCCCCATCCCCGGCCTTACGCGCTTTAAAGGGCACATCATCACATGGCAATGGCATCATCAGTTGACACCTTTTATAAAAGATAGCTGACTACTCACAGGAGTCACAACTCACAAGTCACTAGTGCAAGGTAGCGGCAAACACACAGTAGCCAATAGGCCCCACTTCCTGGCCTTACGCGGTTTATGTACAAATTTAACTTTGATGCTACTTCCACTGATTTCATCTTTCATCAGCAAAGCATCCAATGCAATTTAATTTCTACAAGGATTAAAACTAAGTTGAAAATTATAGTACAGATAAACAATTGAAATATAAAATTTTATGTTCAATTATTTTATGCAAATATTTGTCTACATGGTCTTCATTAACAATAATACTTATTGTAGCTACGATAATATAAAATTATAGCACACAGATTAATTAACAAGACAAATGCATGCCCTCTAGTTGGATCTTTGGAATTTTCCTTTGATTTCTATTACTCATCCAATCTATCTGACTCACCATTACACCCCCACTAATTCACTCAACCCCTTTTTCTTCGTTGTTGTGCTCTTCAGCTGGATCTCTTGAATTTTCCTCTGGTATATACTAAAAAGGAGAGAAACGTTAGAAATACTGTTCATTCTACAGTGTTATTTCATGTTTGCCCCTTCTTTATTTCTGTGGTTAATGTTCATTCTACAGTGTGATTTTCTTTTTACCCCTGCTTGAGTCTTTTACTTCATTTCTGAATTCCTACTTCCACACCGTTTTATTATCTTGACGCCCTTTTCTCTGGATGCTTCCCCCACCGTTTCAGACTCTGGGCTCACCTTTTCCCTGCCTGCCTCCTGCTCTACCCGTCTCCCTCCTCGCCTCACCTCCCAATCTCCCAACTTATTTTCGATTTGCCGAGTTTGGTCTCCATCTTCTGGTGTCTACTGTGGCTATTATGATTTTGTCTGCCTCATGGACTCTGAAAATATGGCAGAAGCTTGATGGGTTTGCATGGCGGGGTTCATTTGGCGCTGACCTAATTAACTCTGCTGTTGTTCCCATTTTTCACTTCTATTTAGGTAAAAGCTTTTCTAAATTTGGTTTTGTTAGAGAAAATAGAATCCACCGCTCCATTTTTACAATGTTTTGACTAAAACATCTAGGGTATTTTAATTTTTTATTAAAGTTTTTGAACTTTTGATTAAAGTGTTTTAATTAGAGGCCACATCAGCGTAATTGAATTTAAGCTATTTACATGTCATTTTTATATGCTTAAACTCATAATGCTATATATTGGTTTCTCAATTTGCCCTCATGGAGCATTTATTTAGGCATTATCGGGATTAACTTATTATCAAAACCCATTGCCTTTATTTTAGGAACTATCAAAACAAACTTTACACTTTTTATCTCTTTACTGATATGTTTAACTTTTTGATGTGGTTCTGGATTTCAAAATATGTTTTTTTTTTTAATTTTTATTTATGTTTACACTTCCTAGTCTTTCTATTGTGTAGTGTGGGTACGTTTATGGCTATGTTTGTTTGGGGAACTGCTGAAAGTTTACTAATGTTCGGTACAATTGGCTAGTGAACACAATTTTAATTGGTACAATTAATTACGTAGATATTATAGTTGATTTGTTCAGTTTTCATTTTTCTATTTAGGTATGTTTGTTAGTATGTAGTTGGTACGCTTAATATGAAACTAAACAAACTTAAAATTGTGGTATTACAAATTATTGGTACGTAAACATTGCAAGGATAAGTTTATCTGTATATAGTTGGTACATTTGTTCGTACATAATTGCTATGTTTAAAATGAATGTAAACACTCCCAAACTAAATTTGATTCCAATAACGTATGGTACCTTATATACAAACTATTGGTACGTACCATTGGAGAGAAACACTTGCTTTTGCTCTTTTTTTTATTTTATTATTTTTTTATTTTTATTTTTTATTTTTACAAAGGCTCGTACAAGTTTGTCAAGTTGGTAACAATCACTTTGGGGAATTCATAACGTACCATCATATTGGTAAGTATCAAAATAAACATTTTATAGCGTACCAACATATATTATAGCTTACCAACATACTAGAAGTCCCAAAATAAGCAGTTTATATTATACTCAAGTTGGAAATGTATAACATATGAGTAGTTTGTAACGCATCAAAATTAACGTTCTATAGCATATCCAAATTGAAAGTTTATAATGTACCAATAGTTTATTACGTGCCAAAATTAGCATTCTATAGCGTACTCTTGAACTATATTACGTACAAAATTAGCGTTCTATAGCGTACCTTGAAATTGTATAATGTACCAGTGGTTTGTCATAATAGTTTGTTACGTACCAAAATTAGCATTCTATAGCACACCTAAGTTATATACCAAAATTAGCATTCTAAGCATTGCAGAATTTGTATACAGGCATTGAGCAATTTGCTCAACTTGAATGGCATTTGGAATGTGGCCTGATGTCCGGTACTAGGATGCCTCTCTTTGTACATGAAGATTTGAATTTTTTTCTTTTCAAAGAGATGCAGTGCTAGCAATTGGAACCTTTTAACAAGCATGTGGTTTTTTTTTTTTTTTTGACGAACAAGCAAGGTTTTCTATTGACACGTTGAGGTATATATCAGTAGAAGAACATATCAAGTCTGCTAGGTTTTATAATTAAAGACTTTTTGCTGAAATTGAGTACTGGAATATATATCTACTAAATTGTAGGAACTTTGGATAATAATTTGAGAATTAATTGGTCCATTAAATATGATGGCAAATTATGTAATTTTCCGTTAAAATCTGACTAGTTATGATATGCGTGGCACCTAAATAGTAAGGAAAAGATTAGTCAAAATTTAAAAAGTAATAGATGTTTAATCAAAGAAGCAGTTCAACAAGGCACTTAAACCATAATGCCCAAAATTGCAGGCCGAGATGGACCAACCGTCTGAGGCCAGACTTGAAGAGAGGTCTTTTGTCAGAATATGAAGAAAAGACATGCAGAATGAAGAGGTGAGCGATAGAAACGGTGAGGTCTTATTTCTGATTTGAATTTTTAAATTGAGTAAAGTATTCTGCTTTGTGTGTTTTGAGTAGGTGTGCGATTTAGTTTCAAGCCAGGGGTTGTAATGGGTGGATTGAATGTAAAATTTTCTTTTTGAATTTCAATTCCCCCCATATCTCTTCATTCCAACCAAACATTTGAGGATTTGGTTTTAATTGTTTGTTTGAACTTTGAGTTTTTCTGTTATTTGGGTGCTAGGAAAATTTACATGCTATTTGGATACTAGGTTAATTCATGGAACTCAAACAAAATTGTTTTCATAATTTTTTTTAGAAATGTGGATTTTCGTTTCAGAAGGTAATGATTATTTTTCGAAATCCTATAATCTGATCATAGTTCTGAATTTCTATTAAGATCAATATTAGTTGTGAGATTAAGAAATTTCACAAATCGTTTTTGGTTCAAGAAATTCCAATATTCTTTGTTGGTCCGTGAAATTTTCAGTATTGATTGTAAGTGGTTTTGGGGGCAGGTTTGGATGGAAGATGAGAAGACGATCTCTGTATCCTTGGAAACATGCATTTCGGAAAGCTCACATTCAGCTGTGTTTGGCGAATAGGTTTGTTCTAAATGTTTATATTTAGTCTATTTACACTTAGGTGTTAAGCCATTCGTATATAGACGTATGCATGTTATTTGTTTTCCTCATGATTTTCGTATAGTTTATGAAGAATGTATAGAAACGACAATGATCGAGTGGATTATGTAGTGGCACATATTTGGGCAGGGCTTGGAGAGCCAGACCCCAAATGGTGTATGCCTACACCAGCATGAACAAGGTGGTTAACCCTGTCGGCTGGAGAAACAATAACCACCCTGAACGGGACAAGTAAGCATATTATGTTAATTAAAACATGATTAAACATTTTCATATAATTAGTTTTGAGAGTTGATAATATAATTTGAATTTGCAGCAATGTGGCCTACGGAGAGTACAAGTGTATGGGTCCAGGTTCAAGTACATATCATAAAACAAATTTGAGCAAAGAATTGACTGACGAACAAGTCAAGCCTTTCATTAGCTCTGGATATATTCAGGGTATGGCTACTTCCTCCAAATCTTAAAGTGTGGTTATATATATACATACACACATATTTATACATATGTATATATATATATATATATATATATATATATATATATATACATACATATGTGTATATATGTACATATATGTACATATATGGATATAGACATATGTACATATATGTATATATATAGATATATAGATATATGTATATAGACATATGTATACATATGATATGTATATACATATGTGTATATTTGTACATATGTATACATATGTTATGTAGGGTAAACTGCCAATTTAGTCCCTGAATTATCACCTTAGTGAAAATTAGGTCCCTAAACTATTTTTTCAGAAAAATTAGTCCCTGAATTATAAAAATCTGCCAATTACATCCTTAATGTTATATTCGAAGCTACTATATTCAATTTTTCATCAATTTAAGTCACGTTACTTGCATATGATACACATTGGAAGGTAGATTGGTAGTTTTTCATAAAGAAATAGTGTATGGAGTTAACTTTGGAGGAGAAGTTGGTAGTTTTTCATAAAGAAATAGTGTAAGTTAACTTTGGAGGAGAAGTTAGACATTAAATTTGCAACCTATATGAAATGTTAGGCACTTATAGACGAGAAAATGATGATATTACACTCTAAAGTGTGTCAAGTGACTTAATTTGACAAAAAATTGGATAAAATAGCTTTAAATATAATAGTATGGATGAAATTAGCAATTTCTAATGAATTTAGGGACTTATTTTACCGAAAAAATAATTCAGGGACCTAATTTTCACTAAG